CGTGACCTCAGTGGCCGTAGTTTATGATTTCAGAGTGGTGGGAGAAGTAGAAATTGTTGAAGACCCCTATAGTACCTACATTAACATATTATATATAATTATATTTGCTCTAACACCGAATACTTCAATAAAAAAAGTATATAGAACACCTTAACATAATTTCTAGTTTCTATACATGATCTCAGGAGACAAAAATAAATCTCTTCGCCCTTATAGGCATTGCGTAGAAAATAAAAACTGTAAAATTAGTCAAATAAATTAACAAATCACAGCTGATCACTCTATGAACTTACTTATCTTTTTTTCCTAGAAAATAACATAACAATAATAATTAGTAAAATGTGTGATATGCCCTTAACGAAATCCAGTTAAATTTGCGAATATTTTTGTTTTAGAATAGAGTATACATTTCTCGCGTTTTAATATTCTAACAAGCTTTAAATAAATATTTAGATGTGGGTAGTGCATTCGACCGAACATTTTCTATAGATCCACAATTTGTTGTATAATATATTCAATGAAATTTAGCGTTTTTATCATTTAAACACATCCATTTTTCGCTAAAATATCAATTATTTATTTGTTTTGTCAAAAATATATTTATTATATCGCTTGTTTAAAACACTTACCACATTTGACGAAGGAGATCATTACCACAAGTGACGAAAAAAATTTGTAAAATAATGACTTACTCTGTCTTTATAACCTTACAAAGAAAGTCAATACATTTAGGGTTATAAAATAATAAATATTATAGGGAATTCATAGAAAGAGAAGTAAAATTAAGAGCGAACAATAAAAAAATTCCAAAACCACACCGAACGCAAAAAACTTCAATATCGAACTCCACAATAAAAAATTACTCAGAAAACAAGCGAACGGGAGAAGCCTGTATACGCGCTGACCTTGGATCATGTTATTCTCAGCTAAAGGCTGAGTTTTTTTGTAACAATTTTTGTACGGTTAAACAACCGACAACACCGTTTTAGTTTCAGTGGAAAAAGGAGATTAACTCAACGGTTTGGGCTTCCATGTTTTCCAGAAACCTTTTCTGCAATGCTTTCAGTAATTTTCTATCGGTTTAATTTGTTCTTGAATTAAATTTGCCAGTTGAGTATGGGCCTATTGGGCCAGACGGTAAAAGTCCAATTCTGACATCACTGGCGCCAATGTCGGTAATCACTGAATCTGCATTACCGGCCGACGAGTACGGTTCAGAACCAGTTAGTCAGGATCTAAACCGATGAAGTCATAGAAGTTGTGAACTTGTTCTTCTTTTTATGCCAAGTGTCACGTGCTATCTTTTGGCGAATAGAATACGATTAGATGAAAAAAATCAAAGATAGCAAGATACAAAAAGTGTACACAGATGTACCTTGGCTCCTATTGGTCTGATGTCAGCGTGCAAGATGTCATGTGATATGATTTAACGATTAGAATGTGATGGCAAAGAAAAACTAAACACGCATGTTTGCCAAAGAGGCCTCACATCCACATTATCTAAACGGCTTAACAGAGAGAGGCATTGAGGTACCACGTGATAGGATTCAACGAATAGAATAGGTACCACCATGACCAACATGGTGGTATGCCAAAGGGGGCCTTCATTTCAATTGGTTCAGTTTGACGTGTAATCTGAATATGTAATTTAAATGTAATATAATGTGACATTTGACGTAGACGTCTGTAAAATCGATTACCGAAGCGGCGCAGAAGCGAACCTAGCCTAATTATGCAACCGATCTTAGACATCACATCGAATGAAGCAAGGATATATTTATACCTTTATTAACAAAAATAAACATACTTAAGGTTCATTTTTTTAGAGAGGCAATATAATTAAAAGCACCACGAAGCTTGCATAATAAATATAACGCCCTAAATCTCCATGCACTGTAAATCATTAATAAAATCAACAATATCCAACTCCCAGAATAGAAAACACTATGAGGAAACAAGTAAATAAGAGAAACCAAACCAGTACACTTCCAATTGTTAATTTTTCTCCTTACTAGGCCCATTTCGAGCCCAATACTGTTTTGCTTTCCATCTCCAGTCCTATTATTCTGATAATTTGTTCATTTTTATTTATTTGAATTTTCTTATGCGTTTCTTTTATAAAAATCTGTCTTTGCAGCATAGTTGGTATTAGATAATTTCATTTTTCATGTTTAGTCAAGTTATCTCCTTTCCAGCATTATATTCTTTATTGCGTAGAAGTTTTTAATTGATTTATTGCTCTGTTTGCGTTTATTTTGTTCCAAAAGTTAGCATGCGGCCCAAATGTTAATGAATACTAGTAAATTCCAAGAACTTTATTAGTTTTGCAGAGGAGCCATAGAAATACAAACACGAGGAAGCCTAAAGAATAGATATAACGCTCTAAACCTCCGGGAAAGTAGATATGATTAATAAAAATGAAACATTGAACTCTCAAAACAAAAAAACTGCTTTCCGGAAACCAAATTTGTACACAATTGTTAGTTTTCCTCGTTAATGGTCCTAGTTTTAGCCCAGTGCCATTTTGGCTTCAACACCCAGTCCTATTATTCTGCTAATGTGCTTTATTTTCATTTTCTTGTGTATTTCTTTTACAAAAAACAGTCTTCACTGTATTGTTGGTATTACAGACTTCCATTTTTAACTTTTAATCAACTTACCTCTTTTCCAGCAGTGTATTCGGCTCCGTTTGCATTTATTTTGCGGCAAGAGTTATTATACGGTCTAAATGTCCATAGATACTAATGAATTCTAGCAAAATTCCTTTGCTTTTACAGAAAAACTATCGAAATACAAGCATATGAGATACTTAACAATGGAGACGATGTCTTAAATGTCCACTCAACGTAGAAATCAGAAGTAAAACACGCTCATTAACGTATTCCACAAAAAAAATTATTCCCAGAAAATAAGAGAAGAAGAAAAGAACCATTCGACCTTCGACCATCTTTGATTTGATTATATCAACGTTTATCAATCACAAAACATAAAAAAAAACTGATATAAAACCATGTAAATCAGTAATAGATGCCGTTTCACATAGCAAACACATATTGAATGAAATTAAACGCATAGAGATATTTTTTCCCTCTTTTATAGATCTTAATATATTTCTCTCTCTAATATATATCGATTTCCCTATAATAAGAGTGATGAAAGACATTTACCAACTTTCTCTATAAAATGTATGTCAAACTAATAAAAATTGTTGGTCCTTTCAGTCATTTGCGCTACCCATGTACAACATTTACTTTAGAAGTTACTTATATAATAGGTACATAGCTTTTATATTGTCATCACTGACTTTGACATGTCAATTCTATCGACTTTAACATTTCTAAAAGCATAACAAATTTTTAGTTTATAAAAAGTGTTTATAGAGCGTTAATATCGGTTATAGTTTGTTGTATGGCCTTCTTCAATGAAATTGGTTTCTGTGTTTATGGCGTTATTACAAGCCTGGTACTGGCATATAGATGGCGCCACCAATAACAATAAAATCAACGATGTAATGTACAGAGGATGGAACCTATGAATAAACTACATCCAAAAATAGCTGATAACAATGGCCGACTCTTGTTTCCGGAAAGTCAGTGGTGTACGGAAAAAATTTTTTTGGTACATATATATGTACAATAATTAATTATTTTCGTTGTTATTTACATTTGAATAAAATATATCATGTGAATAACTGTAACATTGTAAAGTTAAAAAATTATTATTTTTATAACATAAAAACATATATTTGACAGGTACGTAGTTGTGCCTCGCACGTCACTGATGTGATTGGAAGCAAAATATTAAAACTTACCAAAAAGAATACATTAAATTATTGACTAACCACATAATGTTACCTGTTTAACATTAAAATATCCGAAATAACTATATTCAGATTAATCACCTGTCAAATTCACGTCGGACATTGTAGCTAGTAATTTGACGTCAGTTCCGTCGTTGATCAGCCACATGTTAAAATATCAACATGTTCCATCGTTAGTATATTACATCATTGAATAAAATACATTTACAGAACGTACTGACCTTCAGACGTCACTTGTCAAAACTTAACGTCATTTGGACCATTAGTTTACAAGTTACAGAGGAAAAGCTAGCAATAGGGATTATTACAGCCTTGTTGGTGAGTTTGTCGGAAGACATTATCCAAAATGGCAGTAATTATAACAAAATTACAAGGATTGCACTTAAAATTGTCTGTTACTCTACCGCATTCTTCAGATTTTGCTCCTAACAACTCAAATCTCCAGAGTACTTTAGGGAAAAACATTTGTGCCAAATAAGGAGTTTAGGTTATGTTAGGTGTTGCAAAAATACAAACTGTTCTACAAAGAATGCATCTCATGTGGTCTTGTGGTCACCCTAGAAGGAGTTTAAATTCATACATAAGGTTGTATTTTGTATTGATAAAAATCACCCAATTTAGAGACCATCCTAAAAGAAGTTAAAATGGAAATCCAGCCGTGAATACATTCGCCAATTGCATTGAAGCAGATTTTAAACAATAAATTTTTAATATATCCTTGATAATTCTTTGTAATTGACATGCCAAAGGAAAAAAATAATCATAACGGAGCTTTCACAATTCTTTACATATATGTTAATATGTTTTAATATAATAACATAAGGTCTAGGAAGTGTTGGTACTCAGAACAAAAGGATTCAAGCACATTTTGGTTTAAGCTTGATAGGAATAAATACTTTCTTGCACAACTCAGTTGTTATGGAACACTTTTTTTTAAATGTACTCCTAACGATATTTCAACTATTTAAGTCATTTTTTTAACAGCTGTACACAAATTTCATCTCCCCTGATATATGAAGACTTTAATTGATCGCCTAGCTAGATATTGTTAAATCAATATTTGGTAGAAAACTGTCATAAACAAAATAAAAACTTATGCCCATCAGTAATAATGTCAGCAAACAAATATGCAAGAATCCTCTCAATCTGTCCCAAATTTAAAAAATCAAAAACAAGAAATGTATATAGACACTTTTTATCTGTACATCATCACATCTGAACTTTGGTACATGCATATGTAGGCGTCACACAGCAGTCTACGCGCATGTTCGGGCAAATGCCTGTCCGAGGGATATTCTTCGTGAAGTTGTCTGCAGATAGTTTCGTCGGATAACCACCGCGACACGTCGGGACAGGCGACCATTTCGGGTATATTAAAGCCATTTTTTTCACCTAAAAATACAAAAAAAAAAAACAGTTGATAGATAAAAATGATTGTTTATGTGTACATCTTGTAATATTGATCTTGAAAGACATTTACCAACACATTTACCAAAAAAAAAACAGTTAATAGATAAAAATGATTGTTTATGTGTACATGTTGTAATATTTGCACTGTTTCCTATTTAACAATTCTCCGTACAACTACCTCATCAAGAAATTTCCAATATTGATCTTCACGTACAGAATTAATGATTTATAAATTAGTAGTTAGTTATTAACCATACTTATGATTTTTTAGATTACTTTTCTAGATTTTTTGATACATTACAAACAGTTTTTCAATGCTTTTGTATGATTTATGTCCTTTTATGACATTTTTTACTGCTTTTCCAACCCTTGTTATGGCTTTTCTAGATTTTTTGAAGCATTACAAACATTTTTCAACGCTTTTGTATGATTTGCTCTTGTACGATTTTTGTTACTTTTTTAACTCTTTCGTACGTTTTTTTGTCACCTTTCTCGACCTCTTTCATTGCTTTTTTGACTTCGATTTAAGTTTTAACTCTGTTTTTGACAGTTTTTCAACTTAACATTTTTTAACGCCTTTGACGTTTTTTATTGCTTTTACAATCCTAGTAATGATTTTTCTAAATTTTTTTGAAGGATTTCAAACACTTTTTCAACGCATTTGTACGTTTTTTGTCACGTTTTCAATTTCAACGCAATTGTACATTTTTTGTAAATTATTCGACATCGTTCATTGCTTTTTTGATTTTGATTTAAGTTTTAACTCAGTTTTGCAGTCTTCAACCAGTTTTTTGACTCGACGTTTTTTTAACGCCTTTGACGTTTTTTATTGTTTTCCAATCGTACTGATGACCTTTTCTAGATTTGTTTAATATACTACAAACACTTTTGTATGATTTTTTCACTTTTTTAAGCCTCTTGTACGATTTTCGTTACTTTTTAAATGCTTTTGTACAATTTTTGTCACTTTTTCAACGCTTTCGTACGTTTTTTGTCACCTTTTCAACGCTTTTGTATGATTTTGTCACTTTTTCAACGGTTTTGTACCTTATTGTCACTATTATCTTGACGCCTTTCATTGCTTTTTTGACTTTGATTTAGGTTTTAACTCTGTTTTTGACATTTTTTCAACTCGATATTTTTTTAACACCTTTGACGTATTTTTATTGTTTTTACAATTCTGGTAACGATTTTTCTAGATTTTTTTGACGCTTTCCAAACACTTTCTGACTGCTTTTGTACGATTTTTATCACTTTTTCAAGGCTTTTGTACGTTAATTTTACCTTTTTAATGCTTTTGTACGTTTTTTTTACTTTTTCAACGGTTTTGTACGTTATTTGTCACTTTTTCAACGCTATTAACGTTTTTTTGTAAATTTTTCGATGCCTTTCATTGCTTTTTTAACTTTGATATAAGTTTTAACTCTGTTTTCCAGTATTCAGACATTTGACTTAACGTTTTTTTAATGCCTGTGACGTTTTTTATTGCTTTTTCAATCCTACTTATGCTTTTTCTAGATTTGTTTGACGCATTACCAAGATTTTTCAACGCTTCTATACAATTTTTATCACTTTTTCAACGCTCTTGTACGATTTTTGTTACTTTTTAAATGTTTTTATACAATTGTTGTCACTTTTTCAACGCATTGGTACATTTTTTTGTCACTTTTTTAACGCTTTTGTCACTTTTTCAGAGCTTTTGTGACATTCTCGACCTCTTTCATTGGTTTTTTGACTTTAAGTTTTAACTCTTCTTTGACAGTTTTTTAACTCGTTTTTTTAACGCCTTTGACGTTTTTGATTGCTCTGGTAATACCTTTGCCTCGTAATGATTTTTCTAGATTTTTTTTATGCTTTCCCAAACACCTTCTGATCGCTTTAATACGATTTTTGTCACTTTTTCAGGGCTTTTGTACGTCGATGTCACTTTTTCAACGCTTATGTACGTTTTTTGTCACTTTTTTAACGGTTTTGTACGTTATAGTCACTTTCTTGGCGCCTTTAATTGCTTTTTTGACTTTATATTAAGTTAAGATTTAAGTTTTAACTCGTTTTTGACGTTTTTATTGCTTTTCCAACCCTGTTTATGGCTTTGCTTGATTTTTTGACGATTTTTGACGTTTTTAGTCATATTTTCGAGGCTCATAAGTACTGATCTTGAATGCAATGATTGCAGTTGTCATTCAAGTGTCCTAAAGTGGCTTACTAATATGTATTAGGCGTACTACTCTAATTAGGTCTGCAAATATTTTTATATAATAAACTTTGTAATAATCATCAGCGCAAAATTTACATGTTCTATTAAAGATAAACAAATTAGCAATAAACTTACCTAATCTATCAGCCATGGAATCGAAAAAACACCAAGGAGCCTCGTGGCCTACGCCACACTTAACAAATGTCACATAATGCGACGTTTCGATACAAATCACAGCAAATAACTCCATGAACAGCCTCGGCCATGGATATAGATCCTGCACAGAAGAAAAATCACTGGTTATGTTCAGCTTCGTAGGTTTGTGATTTTTCCGTTTCTCGTGCCTGTGGACTGTCTTCAGACAATCCGGACAAAAAGCAGTACTCTCTAGACCGGCGTTGCTGCAGTCGTCGAAGCATTCTCTGCATTCGTACCGGGCCAACTTCCCGCAAACTATACAGATTCGTGGAGATCCATCTATCACATCAGTCACGTCCAGCAGTTGCGACGGCAATATCCTAGGGTACATCTTGTAGTTTTTACCGAACCGAGGCATCTGGATTATCAAACAGGAAGGAACTTCCTTGAGTTTAATATTACTAGTCAAGAAACTCTGTTCGAACAGTTGCTGGACTGTAGGCAGGGTGAGTTGAGCGTCTTTTTCTACAAACAACTGATAATGGAACGTTTCTTGACCTGAATTCAGTTTCAGGAAGGGTTCGGCTCTGAGAATTTGAGCCAGAAGGGAATTCAAAAACTCTTCCGGGTCTTTCTCCTCGCTCGTCAAGCCCGAAATATTGCTCAGTCTATCTAAAAGTCGACGCAGCTTCATCACGTGGTCTGCGCTGACAAAAAGGTTTTTCCTAAGAGGGTTTACGATTTCTTCTCTTAACACCCTCTGTACCTGAAATGAGAAAATATTGTTTCAAGTTTCAAGTCTTTAGCTCATTGGGAAGTTGGTTTAAAATAGATTACAAACTTACACACGAACAAACTGATATAAGCAAGTTAAAAAATTGGGTTAATACAAAAGAGAAGTGTTTATAGTTGCTTTTGTCGCAAAATACACTCTTTATTATTAATCTTCTGACTCCCAAATCGGAAATCGTTGTCAAAAGGGGATATGATTGACCAATCTTTCTCTTCCAGTTTATTTTTCATCCTATTTTAAATGACAAAAACTAAAATTGCTGGAAACTTTTTCCTTTGAGCTATTGTTGAAAGATTTGAATTATTGCAGCTTTTTGGTAAAACAATGGCTAGTTAATCACTCTTCCAAAAACAGTTCATAAGTTGATGAGCAATATTTTAAATATTGCAATACAATAACTAAGATATAAGATGAAATGACAAGGGTACTACTAACATATATGAACAAGGTTAAAATCTATTCAATAAATATGGCTCTAGTTGTAGAAACGTACCCCTAAAGTGATTGGGTTCAGGAAAATTGTGTTAAAATAGCAGGTTATTATAAAAGAGATTTAGAAACTAAAAATGTACTTACTTCTTCGTAGTCATCAATATCACACATGTTCTTAGGCCTAAATAAAATACTATCGAAAACAGAGGTATAGGTAAACATTGCGAACAAAGTCACGTCCAGATAACAGGAATTATGGTGCCCTTGAATGCCTCTGTACTTTCCACACACCGCTTCTACGTCTTCTTCGGTGGGCATGCACAAAGGAGGTACAGCTCCTGGAATCACCGGACAATCCTAAAGAAAAATCAGAGTATTAATAAAATTAAACGTAAATATGGTAAATTAACGTAAATTTGGTCCTTCAAAGCCGGATATTTGCACAAAAGGTCTTCGTTCAGATTTAAATAAATTAAAGTAAAACATTTAAGTCACATACAGAGTTACATTAGAAAAATAGTAAATGTTAAATAGTAGTGAAATACCAATTTAGAGGTTAGAAGATAAGAAATAGAACAATAAAGTAATAGTTAATAATTATAACAACCCTTAAAGAAATTTGATTTGAAAATTAGGTACAAAACTCAAAATTCCCGTTAAATCAATCAATGTCTTGTATCATATTGATGTTTGTTTGATTTAATCTATTAGGTAGTGGCTTAACGGCATGCTTTTAGGTTCTACGAATAGATAAAGAACGCAAGAAACTGCTTCCAAAAAAGTTGTAAATGTAAAAGGGTCTCCGAAAACCACTTTTCCACCAAAAAAGTCGTTTTATAGATAGAATTAGGTCATCGAAAATCACTTTTCCGCCAAAAAATCACTGTATAGATAAATAGGTCACGGAAAATGACTTTTTCAACAAAAAAATAGTTTTATAGATAAATAGGTCACAGAAAATCCTATTAAAAGTCGTTGTATAGTCACCGAAAACCACTTATCCACCAAAAAAGTCGTTGTATAGATAGAAGTAGGTCATCGAAAATCAGTTTTCTGCCAAAAAAATCACTGTATAGATAAATAGGTCACAGAAAATGACTTTTTTCATCAAAAAATAGTTCTTTTCATAGCGAAAAATATTTTGCACTTACCATATTGTGTTCTACAGCGGAAGCCTCGTGAACTCTGGGCGGCGGCGTGTCCTGGAACCTAGAATCTTTCCTACACTGATCTAGGGGTACAAAAATGGCTCTGTTTTCAGCACAGCTGAATAATCTATCTCCTTTATGTACACCGTCCGATAAATTCAACGGTAAATGAAGTTGTTCTTCTTCTAGTTCCACCTAAAATAACAAGATAACAAGGACTATTCATAACAAAATGCAACAATGCTACATTAAACTGTTAAAAGTGTTATGGTTACACGTGACAAGTATCCGCAGTGACACAAATTATGCCGAACGTTCAAATTTGTTTGATAGGTTTTAAGCTGAATGTATCAGAAGAAATTGTATCCTACACGTCAGTCCGAAGTCAAATGGACAGTCAGTTGTAACAACAGCAGCAAGTGAAAAACGTCAAAAAGACAAAAGACACAACTGGCGATGTTTTTGCTTTGAAAAGCTGGACTTTGGCTTAGAAATAAAGAGCAACAATTAGCAAATATTATATAGCACTCTTGGTGCTTTCGAAGCAAGAAATAGTGAAAAAACTGTGATAAATGAAGACGAAAAAAGTCTTTTTTGCCAAGATAATACTCCTTGTCACAAGTCGACTGCAACGATGAAAAAAATAGATGAAGGGCTCTTCAAATTCGTTCCGCACTCACTGTATTCTTAAGATCTGGTCCCCAGCTAATCTCTATGTCAATAGCAGACCTCAAAAGAATGCTCTAGCAATTTTTTTTTTATTATTAGCAAATTAGATTTTGATCAAATGAGGAAGTTTTTGTTACAGATATGGAGACGAGTACATAAAAAAAGGATATATGACACTGAGGACTAGGACAACTACTCTTTGGTGAAAACTTAAAACAGGAAGAACGCCAAACTGAAAGCACTAAAAAAAGCAAAGAGGAATTTAGAAAATGAAATAAAGGACACATGGAGATGACAAAAAAAATAACAATAAGGTAGAAAACAGTATGGAACGGGTGTGATAAATGTGTTACCGCCGTATTACTGCCCGTTTAATCCCATCGAATACATCTGCGGTATATGTAAAACGTATTATGATAATCACGTTGGATGCAGTGGTTAAAGTGACGATGCAGTTAGAAAAATGTGATAAGAAGCTCTTAAAACTGCAAATCCAGAAATATGGGTCAAAACTGTAAATAAAGGTGAAAAATTTATAGCAGAGTGATGGATCCGGGAACATAAAATTGGTGAAATTAATCCAGTGATTATATATTTATATAATGATAGCAGTAGTGAATTTAGTGACGATGATGATGATTTATAAATTTAAATATTCAGTAAGTACACTATTATAATGTTATTTGCAAAATAATTGTATAGCAGGTTAACCATTATATTTAAACATTCATTATTAGCCAAATAAACAATAACATTTACAATTCGATTTGAATTTCTGCGAATTCCGTTAATTGTTTAGAGTTATAAGTTGGTTGAATGTACTATAATTGAGGCTATGAGAGCAAGAGTGGGCTAACCAATATTTTGTTGATAATTGAGTTATAGATTACAATCACTTCTAACGACCTAAAGTTTTACACCAAAACCGGTTTAACCAACATTTCCGTATATTATAACATAAATCTCTCCAGTAAGGTGATTTTGCATTATAAAAAATAACAAAAATTTGAAAACACGAATGGGCTAACCCACGAAGTTGTGGAATAGACCAAAATTATTCGATACATAAATACGTAAAAGAATGCAAGAGTGGGCTAACCATCCTCTTTGTAGGATAGACCGGTTTTAACTGCTAATCAAGGGTACATATCTGAAATTATTTTTTTCTAAAAACCTTGCAGATTTCTAATGGTAGAGTCACAGCCACCTTTACTTCCAAGCCATGAAGTAGAAATTTGGCAACAACGCGTGGTAGTCCGACCGTGGTTAACGTGGTAAGACGTGGTTTGTTTTGTTTAATATTTCATATAGGAAGGCTTGTAAAGTTTGTTGAATTTAGTGTTTTTTTAACTTTACTCGAATGTTTTATTTGTAAATTATGTTTAAATCAATTAGAAAATATTAATATAAGTGAAATTTCATTAAGTTTAAAACTTTTAGAAGATTCTTAACGACAATTTAAAAGGCAAGTATAAATATAACCTACAAAACAAAATGAAGATAATAATACTTTTGCTTCTTGTTACAAAATATGTAAACTAAAAACAACAATAATAATACTTTTGTTTTTTGTTACAAATGCCCTGGCATTGTTGTGTACCTGGTAGCAAAACCAATTATGCCAGTACTTTAAAAACGAAACAGGCAGAAAGTATGTTTTCGTTTCCCAAAGATCTCCAAAGAAGGTATACTGGGTTATGCTCTATTCATAGAGAAGGCTATACAATTACCAAATCTTCCGTAGTATGTGCCAAACATTTTCATGAAGATTATATACAGTGGACTGAACAATGAGAAGATAAAGATGGAAATGTACACGTTGAAAAGTTAATATTTCCCATAAAAGACAATGCAGTTCCTAATATATTTTCTGAAGTACCATCATATGTAACTGTTCATCGTACTAAAGAAAGAACAAATCCCGAAGACAGAAGAAACTTTTTGCATAAGAAGAGGGAACAAGATAACAGAATTCTTAGACAATGATTTAATAGATTCATTTGAATCATTTTTAAGAGACTTAGACAATAATATCCCATTGAAAAACTGGACAAGTAAAATTACAAGTGACTGTGTATATTTCTATGTATTAAACATTAATCAGTTGAGACACGAGTGTGATAATATTTGTGTAATAAGTAGTGTAATAGTTAGCAGTAATTTTAGTGTAATCGTCAATGTAGGTAAGAATAGATTAAGTAGTAATGATTTGAAATGGATCTTACAACATAGTAAATTAACAAGATGGTCACAATTAGAGAACTTACTTTCTCGATATAGATCTGCTTTTTAGATAAGTGATAACAAATTTGAGTATTACATTCAAAAATCTTTTGAGAATATAAGTTATTTTAAATCGATATACAAGTTATAAATGGTATGTTACATTCAACACATTTTTCATGTATACCTCTTTTAACTTGGTCTATATGACAAAAAACCTATTCATATTTAAAATTGCTACTTTCGTATACCTAAGTATGAAAATTCAACAAAAGTGATAAGTAAATAGTAAAATATTTAATTTTCAATTAGATTAATTTAGAACCATATTTATATTGTGTCTGATTTCTTAGGATGAATTTTTTAATCATAATAGTGACACTAAGTTTTTACTTAACAAATTTTATATCTTTTGTATTTTTAATAATCTTTTTAAATGTTCTGTTAATGTATTGTGTTATTTATATTCTTAAGTACTTAATATTTAAAATTTCTAGAGATTCTTGACTGCATTTGATTGTAAGATTAACTGTTTGACACTGTATTTTAAGTGCAATAAATTTTACTCTAATGATTATTTTATTGATAATATAACCTTAATAATAATAAAACTTTATTTATTAGGTATATATAAGGTTTTATTAATTTAATTTCCCTAAAAATATTTCTGTAATGAATTGAAGTTTTCATAATGTCAGTTTCCTAAAATTCAAATTAGTTTAATTTACTGGTAGACCTTACAGCTGATTATCGGAGGTTGGTGATCTGTGTATCGGACTACCGACGTCATAGAATGCGGTGTTGCCTTTTTTACTTCATGGCTTGGAAGTAAAGGTGGCTGTGGTAGAGTAGATACGACTTTTACAAAAAAAAATCACAAACTGGAGTTAATACTTAATCCTGTCTCATTTCACATATTTCGAAAAATATTTAATATTCAATTTAATATCGGATTCCATGCCCAATTACGGATTAGTGCAAAAAATGTGATTTGTATAACAAAAAATAAAATTCTCAACAGTTCAAGCAGAAAAACGTGAATTTGAGGTAACACTAGAGGTTCACCAACGAAAAGCAGACCATGCTAGATGGGTATGAAACAAGATGCAGAGTATGCAAAACAAAATCCTGAAGAAATTACAGACATTGACATTACAGACATTCTTACCTTGCCTGTGACCAAAGGAAATTCATTTTACGGTAATAAAGGTGACAGAAAAGGTTTTTATTCTACTAAGAAGTTAGAATGTCAAATGTCGGAAGAAATAGAAATTCTTCGGGGTGTGAGACAGGGCTGTGTATTGTCACCACTGCTGTTTAATATATATAGCGAAGCCATTTTCCAAGAAGCTTTAGGAGAGTGTAACGATGGAATGATAATAAATGGTGAAATTATTAATAATATAAGATATGCCGATGATACTGTCATATTCACTTCAACTCTGCAAAGTCTAACAAACATACTGGAACGGCTGAATGAAAAGTGTACCATATATGGTATTAAAATGAACTTAAAGAAAACAAAATTCATGGTCATTACAAAACATCCAAAAGACAACGAGACACTCCATATTAATAATATCCAGATAGAAAGGGTAGATAAATACAAATATCTAGGAACATTGGTTAGTCAAAACGCAGAACAAACGCAAGAGATTAAAAGCCGTATAGAAATAGCAAGGGCAAAATTTGTAAAAATGAAACGTCTATTGTGTAGTAGAGACCTAAGAATGGATCTAAGGATAAGGTTATTGCGCTGCTACATTTTTACAACTTTGCTCTACGGATCTGAGGCATGGACATTGAAACAAATGGAGATTAAGAAATTGGAAGCTTTTGAGCGTTGGTGTTATCGAAGGATGCTACGAATAGCATGGGTAGACAAAATTACCAATATTGAAGTCCTTGATAGGGTTAATAAGAGGGAAGAAATTGTACAGACAATTAAGAGGCGGAAACTTGAATATTTCGGTCATATATTAAGAGGTCCTCGTTATGGGCTACTACGTTTGATTATAGAGGGCAAAATAAAAGGTAAAAGAGATGTAGGAAGAAGAGGAACCTCCTGGCTACGAAATCTAAGGGAATGATTTAGTCTGAGCTCTAGCCAACTATTTAGAGCTGCTGTAAGTAAAATAAGAATTGCCATGTTGATATCCAACCTTCGTTAGAAGATGGAACCTTAAGAAGAAGAAGAAGTTAGAAATAAATATAACAAATCGCAAACTTGATACACAAACATCAAAAGTTCAATGGTCACAGATTCAGTGGTTGCAATACAAGAAAACAAATCCATTTACAATTTACTACAAATACAGCAATAATGCAGATGTTCTCTTTTACTCATTAGATGTCAAAAAGAGAACATCCAGGGAAATACTTCAGCTAGATTATCTTTATCCCGATGGACGTCCAATAACCGAAGCAAAAAAAGATATCTTTTGGAATTACTTTCATTTATACCTCCAATACATCATGGATTTTACACAAGCACCAGAACAATAAGAATAGAATAGAATAGAAATATGCTTTATTGTCACTGAAAATTATTGAACAATTTTATGGACAAAGCTAAAAAATAAATCAGTAAATAGTACAAAAAGTATAAAACAAAAACAAATATAGTAAAAAACAGAATAACACAATTTTAAATTAGTAAAATTATTGTATAACCTACATAATTTGTACAGACAACAACAAATGAGACAAATTGTAGCCACTGCTTGAGACACCCAAATGTAATTATAAACAATACTAATTTTGTTTCTTTGTTATACATTAAGAAACTCGTCAACTGAATAATATGGTCTTTCTGAGAGATAGATTTTTGTCACCTTACGAAACTTAATGAAGGATGTTGCGGATTTAATTTCTCTTGGAATGTGATTATAAAGTTTCTTTGCACGATATAGAATAGAATTCTTTACTAGCTGAGTGGACGGGATCGGCAAATAAACGTTACAATCCGAATTTCTAATGGAGTAGCCATGGTCAGGTCTATCGGAAAAAATGTTTAGATGCTTTCGAATCAAACAAACCGTTTCCAAAATAAATAAAGAGGGAAGCGTCAAAATTCCGTGATTTTTGAAGTAGGTCTTGCGATGAGTTGTTTGTTTGAGACCAAATAGATAACGGATTGCTCTTTTTTGCAACTTAAAAATAGTATCAAATTGGGCCGCTGTACTAGAACCCCAAAATGGAAGCCCATATCGAAGATGGGACTCGAACAATGAGAAATATGCCATTTTGGCAGAAGATAAATTTAGTTCCTTCGAAACAGATCTTATTGCAAAGCAAGCTGAGGCTAGTTTCTTCCTTAAGGAGTCAGTATGCAAGGACCATTTGAGATCACTGTCAATGAGAATACCTAGAAATTTCACGGAGTTTACGATATTGATTTGGCTCTCATTCAAAAGCAAGAGTTGCATGACTCCTTTATAAGATAATGCTACAGTCTTATCCACGTTAAAGCTAAGTAAGTTGGAGTCTGACCAAGCCTTGATTATAAGTAAATTAGCGGTTATAATTGAATGAAGCGTTGAAATATCAGAGCTGCTCCAAGTAATACTGGTATCATCAGCAAATAGAAAAATTTTCCCTTTAATTTTCAAGTAAGTGATGTCATTAATGAAAAGTAAAAAAAGAATGGGACCTAATACTGAACCTTGCGGTACTCCACACTCAATATCTTTACAACTAGAGTCGGTGTCATTTATTCTAACCAATTGTTTCCTACCTACCCAGTAAGTTTTGAACCAGTTCAAAGACACACCCCGAATTCCATAGAAAGTTAATTTTTTTAATAGAATGTCGTGATTTACGCAGTCAAAGGCTTTGGAATAGTCGCAGAAAACGGTGGCGGAGGAGAGGTTACTGTTTAGTGATAGATATACATCATGTAACACAGAAAATATGGCATCACTAGTGCATTTATTAGACAAAAAGCCGCACTGATTTTGCGATAAAATATTATATTTGAGGAGAAAGGACATAAGTCGAACTTTTATAAGTCTTTCAATAATTTTTGATAGTGCTGGTAACAAGGCAATAGGTCTATAGTTGCAGGCATCAGATTTTTCTCCACCTTTATGAAGAGGAATGACGATGGCAGTCTTTAGGCAGTTAGGGAATGTACCTTTTTCAAGGGAATCATTTACTAGCGAGACCATGACCTCCAAAACATTGTGCGGTAGATTTGAGAAAATTTTAATAGATAATCCATCTGTACTACAGGACGATGTGCTTTTTATACTACGAATTGTTGAAATGAGTTCCGTCTTATATCAACTGGTCTTAAAAAGAAGGTATCAGCAATGTTTTTTGAATTAGAGAGATAGAAAACTGGATCTTGTTTTGGCGAAATAGTTGAGGTTATATTTTTACTCACATTAACAAAGTAATCATTTAGATTTTCGGGGTTAGGAAAAGAAAAGGTTTGATTCGCTGTACTGGTTTTATTTCAAAAATCGTTTATTATTGACCAAATTTCTTTTGAAATATTTTTGGAGCTTGTTAAGCGATTATGAAAGTAGGATTTTTTGGCTACTTTGAGTAGTTTTATATATCATTTTCTGTACTTATTGATATAATCAGAGATTTGTTATGTTTTGGCCTGATGTTTAATAGAGGAAATGCTTTATTAAAAATAGATACAAGTCTATTTAGAAAATCACTAACATTACAGTCAATGTCCTCAGAAGAAAAACTCCAGTCAGAAGTCAAGCATGAATTATAGAATTTACGAAAGTTTTGAGTAGAAAAAATCCTACCTAATCGTCGGGTTTTTGAGTGAGATGTTTGTAAACTGCTAAACTTGGTATATACCGCTTCATGATCAGAAAGCCCCCCACTAATAACTGTAGAATGTACGTCATCTACCACTATATAGCAAGAAGAAGAGTTCATTAACGACGAAGATTAAGTATTTTTGTTACTTTGTTTTTTAATACAGCATTGATATTGTTTAATTGTACTGTACTCCAGGTCTAATCCACATTCCTATTAAAATTTTTAAGGCCACACTGATGCAAAAGCGGTCTAATCCACAAAAAAGCTTAAATTTTTATATTTTTGTTAAATATACTGCAAGATCTTCGAGTTTTTTGTTATTAGTTAATGATTTGTAAACAATAACTACCTTTTGCCATCATATTTTGCTTGCTCTCATAGCCTCAATTATCATATCGTTTTGGTATAAACTGCAAACAAAAAATACTTACCCCGACAAGAACAAAGTTAGTTCCGCTTTCAACGCCCATCCACCTGACGACTCCATACAAAGGATTATCACTGACGTCGTTCAGAACCTCTACCAAGCTGCCGATGACGAAATCGTTGGTGGTACCGGGAGCTGGATCGTCGTACTTAGGTTTCTCGTTGAGGTAGAAAGTAGCCGAAGGTTTGGCGTGCTCGGTGGTTCTTTCGTTAATTTCTAAGACAGACAGTGGAATATTATTAACGTCGTCCTCGTCGTATGACGTGTTAGCGTAAATGGCGCAATTCAACTTTTTTAGTTTCATGATATGCGGCGGGATTCGGTTAAGTTTTAGCGGCAAATGAGTGTTTTTTCTATGGCTCAATGACATGTTTTAAAAAATACATAAAACGAGGTACGCACTTTTTAGCAATTCTAACGTACAACACATTGTTTTATAGAAAAGTAGGACGGTGGTTTTTCGACTGACATTAATTCGGTCGACGGTGATCGCTACTGGCGCATAAATTTAGAAATCTAAAAAAGTGTAGGGGTCTACCGACCTAACTAAGCATCACGGCTATTTTTAGAAGACCCGTGCTAAAATCGGACAAGCTCCGGAGGTGTATGTATATGCAAATTCGATAAATAGATCGTCATTATGGTAAATAAACACGGAAACGATTCATTTTTCGTGTAACAGAAGCGATCAAAATTGAATACGATCGTTCTTATGATGCAATTTTTGACGCCTTGGAATCTTTGCCAAACATTTCAAGTGCGTTCAACTACTAATGGTATTCTTAAAACGCAAATTAATTATAGTGAACAAAATATTCAAACACACGGGTTGCAAATTAAACGTAATTCATATATTACTTGTCGATATTTACGAAGATGTGTTGATATTTAGATTAGCATAGACATAATTCATGGATAAAGAATATTTTGCATTACCATAGCCATGAATACTGACTTGAAGAATGATATAAAATGTCAATGTAAAATTTCACGTCACAAATTTTAAATTTTATTGATGTTTCAATTTCCACTTCGGAAATCGTTCTCAAACTACAAACATTAATCATTAATGTAAAATTAATCCAAAAATAAACAGATTCATTTCAGAGTTAATTTTGTTAAATAACACAAACGAGTACTTACTTTTTTTGAGAGTTGAACTTTTATGCTCGTCCTTAATATCCGAAAAATGATTTGTATAAAACTTGGCGGTACTCTTCTTGATACTGTTACCATCCAGTAAGTGATGCAAAGGGTTGCTACTCTTATTCCGTCGACTGAGGGTGTTGTTTTCTACATAATTGACATATTTTTCCTTGACGTTGTCGTTTTTGTCGAGTTTCCTCATAGATCCCGTAAAGTCGTCCAGTTGTTTCCTATCAGTGGTACCCGACCATTTACCTCCTATTACATCTATCAGATCTATTTCAGTGTTGTCCTTAGGTTTCTTCATTAGCGTCGTCTTTTCTGGTTGAATTACGGTGTTCTGATCGAAGTCGTTGTTAGTGTTAACTGAACTGTTATTAATATCCATCATATTCTGAAGGGACAGAGAACTTCTCAAGTACGTATTGTTAGTATGTTTATTCGTAGCGAACTTCTTCGTGGGGTATTCGCCGTATTTCGTCACTATCTCCTCGTATTTAGGCTTTTCTTCGTTCATGCCGTTCGTGATGCTGTACAAGTTCTTCTCGACCAAAATATCTAAGTCGGATTGGGGTGGGGGAGCCGAAGGAGTGCCGTTGCAGATGGCGCTACTGGTGTTCAAAGGTCTCACTCTTTCGATGGTCGTAAAGACCGCGTAGCCGGGATCGCATTTGAAGTACTGGATTCCTGCACACTGACCGTTGCATATGTTGTCTTTCCTCTTTTCCTACAACAAAAAAAAAAGAATTTAAAATAAACACTATAATAATACTATCTCTAATGAGTTACTTTCATGATTCCCATCACTATGATCATTTGAGGCGAGTAGATATTGCATTAAACATGTTTATGAACAAAACTATACCAATCTGGATGTTTGACGATTTTAATATTATAGACCTGATCCAAGAGAATCGATAAGTCGATCACTTCCAATGGTGTTACGATATTGAATAAAATAATTCCTACTAGAATTACGAGCCACATAACTACTTGTGTTGATTAGATAGTGACCACCACCTTAAATTACAATGTTGAGCTGCAAATGGATGAGGGTTTAGGTAACCATGTAAGTCCAGGTCCAGCGATTAGGAAAATCATCTTCATCAAAATTTCCGGTAAATTTACCGCCAGGAAAATATGTTTGAATCGTAATACGTCCCTGAAAACCATAGTAGAGGTAACTAAGTAATAAAAAAACTAAAAAAACAAGAAACAGTTCTGGCTGCGTTGGCTTTACTGTTGACTCTATTGGAGAGTTTGTATATGAGTTGCTATGGATTATAACTAAATTAGTTATCACTAAATCCATCAAGAACTATATGAAATAATACCATTGTTATCGATAATACCTCGGAATCATCTGTAAATAAACAAATTGATTGGAAAAGTACTTGGGGCTTATTTAAATATTTTGTTTATACAGTCAGATGCAAAAAAACGCAGCATAGAAATTTTGGTCAAATTCAAAGCATTTCAATTTTTTTATTTTTGGCCCCATTTTGATGATTTTTTTAGCACACTGTGTATAAATTTATAAATTTTAATTTAGTATAGTTAGTTTTTGTGGAATCCTTTGGAATAATTCCCTTCGGAAACTTTCGTAAAACCTTATTTTTCGATTGCAACCATATCTCCTAAGCATTGTGTTTTTTGTTTCATGTCAAAAGATGCTTTGGTTAATTTTTTATTGCCAAATGAATTTGACACCCACAATTTAGGACTTTTTTAGGAATTATTTTGTAATACGATGAGGTGGCTTTGGTGACTGTTATCATTATGTCATATAGATGTTATGGACCACATAATTAATTGGTCATTTTTCATAATGCCCGGGCTATATAAAAAATGCTCAATACTGTCGGTCAATATAATAAATACTATTAAATTCATCACATTGCCCCGGCATTATGTATAATGCTTAGCATCTACTAGACAGGATAATTAAAACTACTTTTATTTTTATTAAATATGAAATATATTTATTTTGATACAATCAAGTATGTAGTAAAAACTAAAATATTTCTTATATACTAATGAAAACAGTCTTGCAGTCTTCTGTGAAATGGCACATGAGTACATTTAATGAATAAGTATACATAAAAAATATAATACGTATTAACGGTAATTGAGGAAACCAAAAAAAGAATTCTGTGTTTTTATTTGCATTTTTTTCTAATGAACACACAAAGCGGCCAGTGAGAAATTAAATCGTTTTTCTTCTAAATCAAACTCAATTTTAAATAAAAATACGCTTACCACCTTTGCGTGCTACATCATCGAAATTTATTTTGTATGAATGATTTACAATACATAACTATTTGTTGAAACATGTTCCACTATGGTGACACTTGGAGTTACATATTTTTTTTCTTTACGACACTTACACTTATCGGATTTACACCCACCTTTACAACCGCACCTACTGTATCCTTGTCCCCCACAGTTAGAAGATTTTCTTGCGCATTCTCTAAGAGATATCTCAGTGTCTGGAATCTCTTCTATGGAGATAAACTTGTCTTTACAAACGGTAAACTGGTTTCTTGAATATAACTGATTTAGTATGCCATATTTTGTGCCTAGTTTGTAAAGCTTTTTTTCAGTTATCTCTGTCACGATAGCTAGTAGATTTCTTTGATCACAACGAGCTCGGTCCACATCTGGCACTCGTATCCTAACTGTGTTACCTAGTTTAGCCGATGGATATTTGGAATTGGAAAATTTTAACATCTTCTCGGCTTGTTGTTCTAGATTCGTCAAAGCCAATTTTCTTTTCTTCCTTACATCGTTTATTCTAATATCTATATTGGAATCCAGATTTTCATTATTTTCTAAATTAACTACAATAGCCGTTTCTACCGCATTTGTTAAAAATTCTGGAACTTGACTAGATTCACGAGATGAAAATTGCTTCAATTTTTTGAACGTCCAGGGTGTAGCCAGATGATATGGAACTTGATTCGGGCAACATTATTGAAGAGTCCACATTTATATTATTATTTTGTATTATATCCGGTTCTGTAGATAGTCCAGCCTCTTGATTTTTGAACAGGACCTCTAAGTCTTTCTCCGAATTAACATCAGTCAGAACTTCTTGGGGTAGAAAGCTTTTTAAACCAACTTTCAACTTTGTGCCGAACATGGCTTCATATGGACTACAACCTATACCAGTGTGATGAGCTCTATTTTTCATTAGTTGTACAAAACGTAAGCCTTCAGACCATTTGTTTGTATTGTTGTCTTCTAACCACGAACTAACCATATTCTCTACGTCTTGATTGGCCCTTTCTATAGATCCTTGACTCTGAGAATGCCTGGGTTTGCCATGTACCATTTTTAACTCGGGCCACATGCTACACAGCTCTTTGATAATATGGTTAGCGAATTCTCTGCCATTATCACTATGAAGCACACTCGGCGCCCCAAATATTGTGAAAATATCCAAAAGTACATGCGATACTTCTTCTGCTCTTTTACTTGTAAGAGGTCGAAGTTGGACAAATTTGGTAAGATGGTCTTGATAAACAAGCACAAATTTATAACAGCCATCCATTCATTTTCTTGTTCAATATTGGTTTCACCACCAAGCCTTTCTTTGGAACATTATGTTTTTTTCTGACAGGTCATGCATAAATTTAAATAGATAACAATCATCTCACTTGCAATATTTTTAAATTTAGAATGTACTTCCTTCTCCATTCGGTTTCTACCACCATGCCCGATAGTAATATGAAGATCGCGCAATGTATCAAATATTTCTTCTGTATGGACGTAGTATTTAATTACGTTATCTTCTTTCACAGGAACAATCAATTTTTCTACTTCTCTAATCAATCTAATCTTCTCTAATCGTCATAACGTCGAATCTTCGTAAGCGCTAATAATCACTCGGCGTTTTATTTGTCTGTTTACTTTTAGAGTTTTTTACCTTCTGTATCATTTCCATGTAGGCTGTTTTTGTGAAAATTTGTGAATTTTAACTTTTTGCTGAAATTAATTCAGTTAACCGATTGTTAAATAAATTTTTCATATCACTTAATGGTTCTTCTTTTTCCATAGTTCACTATGCAATACTTTATAAACAAAGAATTAACAAAGAAATGTCACAAACAAACCACTTGTCGTATATACCATTACTAACATTCAACTGCAATATGATTTATAAATAATGGCCGACGCGCTTCGGTGACTGTAACCTTGGATACAGCGCGCTGATTCGCTGCTGGAAATCGCATGATTTACTAAGAACGCCGATTTATCACATTGCCCGGCCATAGTATAGCATTTTTCATAATGACCAGACAATATGATAAATTGTAAAAAGTTATCAAATTGCCCGCTGAAGTTAGTCATTATTAATAATGACCGGGCATTATACATAATGGCTAACATAATCACTTTGTCCATAACATAGACACTAACATTTTGTTTACCTATGATTGATCATGGTTCTTAGTGTCGAAGATTGTGTGAAAGCTTTTGCTCTCTATTTAGCAATAGAGAAGAGAGAAGGGGGAGAGAGTTCGGTTGCCGACAAAAATGTAGAGCTTAGAAATATTTTAAATAATTTTAAACTGTTTGTCCTTGTTTTTAGTGTAGTGTTATGTACAATTTATGTCCAATTTCATGTCTATTACATTCTGTGCTTGCTGGATAGCCCAAATTTGACGAAATGCCCCTGATGATGCTGTAGAAAGCGAAAGTACTTGGGCAAGATCTGATTATTAAATTTGTGCTCGATATAATTGCCTTAATTTTTCAAAGTAAAAATAATGTACGTGTATTTACAGTTCATAGCAATTTAACTGAGCCAAAATTACCTCCACGGCACCGAGTATCGAGACTACAATTTTCCAGAGAACATTGACATTGGAATTTAGGACAATGGAGTAATGTTCTTTTTACGTATGAGTCGAGATACTGTCTTCACTCATCAGACGGGAAAGAACGAGTATGGCGTCGAACTGGAGAGAGATTTACGGAGTGCGCTTTCGGTCCCCGCGTTAGTCATGGAGGCGGTTCGGTGATGGTATGGGCAGAATTATCCCAAGAGGTGCACACTGAATTGGTATTTATTGAGGGTTCGTTGACTGCACACCGGTATATTGAGTAAATTTTAGCGAATCACGTAGTACCTTTTTCTCAATATATCGGCGATGATTTTCTATTAATGCAAGATAATGCGCAATCCCACTCTGCAATGTGTGTCACGCAATATTTAGAGAAAGTTGGTATTAATAAAATGAACTGGCCAGCGTGTTCGCCAGATCTGAAGCCATTAGAGCACGTTTGTGACATGCTAAGTAGAAATATTAAAGATCGCGAAGTCACACCAGCCTCAATTAACGCTTAAAATTTCGCTTGGTTATACAAAAGGGATGGCAAAACATCCAGCAAGATATTCGCAACCTCATAGACAGCATAAGCCGACGTGTACAGGCAGTTATAGGGGCTATAGTTATTTTTTAATAATTTTTCTTTGTTATTTGTGTACTTAGGTTAAGTTACATTACATTGCTTCTTTTTATGTTTTGTTATTGTTATCATTGTTCATTAAAACTAAGATCATGTTGTTGCTTTTAATCATTATTTAAATACAGTGCTTCGGGGATGTCGATATGACACATCTTCGATATCAGTCACCAAAGGCCCCATCGTCGTATTACAAATTAATACAAAAGATAATGGTAATAATAGGAAAAGTTGTAAATTGCGGGTGGCAAAGTC